CAGAAAGGGAAAAAAATCAAGTCGATCACGTTTGCTGATTGGTTGGATTCACCGTGGAAATGTGAGTTGTCATGTTTCAGTGATAAATTATAAAACAACTTATTAACCAAGGAGCGCCTGCAGGTCTCAACTCCAGTCCCAGACTCATCCAGGATTCCTCGTTAACATTCTCTACCTTTTCCGTCCTTTGCCATTTCTACCGTCCGTTTCTTGGTCATTTTTTGCACAGACCACCTGCCTCTTGTGTTTAATTGCAATATAGATGATAACTTTACCAAACTTCGATATTTTCCAGCCTTCTTCACAGACGACAGAGGGACTAAACCAGTGCCTCCGACTGGTATAGAAATGAATGAAATTCGTGAAATTGGCAATGTCTTTAGTACCCCCCCTGGCATCGAGTTCACTATTCATCCAGGTAATGAAATATTTGGTTGGCAGGGGGGGGATGTTGATATCACAATGGTTAGTGCATGAGTCTGGACTTCATTGCCTGATTGTAACGTCAGATGTGTCTGAGACGAGTGCTTCCAGTTTGACTCGTCCAGAATGCTGTAGTTTTTCTCCAGGTACTCTTGTAGGAACACTTGGAGAGTAAGGTATGTTCCGTACTGACCCTCAGGGAAGAACAGTTTAGAACTGATAGAATTACCAACTTTAAATGAAGTTTAATAGCTAAGTTGAGCTTATTCTTGCAAAACGGGATCAAAGAATGTTTTTAATCTTTTTCTAGGTTTGAAACGGATCCTAAAAGGTCGTCGAAATATGATGGACGAGGGTCACGTGGACTGGGCAATTGGCGAGGCGCTGGCTTTTGGTTCGTTATTGAAGGAGGGGATACATGTGAGGCTGAGTGGTCAAGATGTTGAACGAGGGACATTTAGGTATGTTGGGGTCAACGCCCTAGAACCTTGTAGTAATGATGTAGTAAATTAACGAGTTATTCCTTTTTAAGCCACCTTTTCTTTTTCTAGCCACCGTCATCATGTTTTACACGATCAGATACGCGACAAGGTGACATACGTTCCTCTTGATCAACTCTCAGAAAATCAAGCCAAATATATCGTCTGCAATAGTTCATTGTCAGAATATGCTGTGTTAGGTAGGTTGTCATGCAAATCTTTGGTTTTCAACCTATTGCTGGGGAACCAACATTTCATCTTCAGGGGAAAATGTTTGCCAAGGGGCAAGCGCGATTATTGTTCCGCAAACAGTTCGTTGTTCTCAACTTTTGAAGGCAGTGCTGGCTGCAGACTACTTTCAACCTGTGTGACACGTGTTTTAGGTTTTGAACTTGGTTACAGTATGACCAATCCAAATTCTCTGGTCTGTTGGGAAGCGCAATTCGGTGACTTCAACAACACAGCCCAGGTATGATACCGTGTCTTTATCATACTGTGTCTTTGATATTACATAACGCAGTGCAAAGCATTAATATTCTTCTTCTCGAATCTAGTGTATTATTGATCAGTTCATCAGCAGTGGCCAAGATAAATGGATCAGACAAAGTAACATCGTCCTGTTACTCCCGCATGGCTTTGAGGGAATGGTGAGTTTAACACTTCGGCCTTACCTCAATGTTACTCCCACATGGCTTTGAGGGAATGGTGAGTTTAACACTTCGGCCTTAGCTCAATGTTACTCCCGCATGGCTTTGAGGGAATGGTGAGTTTAACACTTCGGCCTTACCTCAATGTTACTCCCGCATGGCTTTGAGGGAATGGTGAGTTTAACACTTCGGCCTTACCTCAATGTTACTCCCGCATGGCTTTGAGGGAATGGTGAGTTTAACACTTCGGCCTTACCTCAATGTTACTCCCGCATGGCTTTGAGGGAATGGTGAGTTTAACACTTCGGCCTTACCTCAATGTTACTCCCGCATGGCTTTGAGGGAATGGTGAGTTTAACACTTCGGCCTTACCTCAATGTTACTCCCGCATGGCTTTGAGGGAATGGTGAGTTTAACACTTCGGCCTTACCTCAATGTTACTCCCGCATGGCTTTGAGGGAATGGTGAGTTTAACACTTCGGCCTTACCTCAATGTTACTCCCGCATGGCTTTGAGGGAATGGTGAGTTTAACACTTCGGCCTTACCTCAATGTTACTCCCGCATGGCTTTGAGGGAATGGTGAGTTTAACACTTCGGCCTTACCTCAATGTTACTCCCGCATGGCTTTGAGGGAATGGTGAGTCTAACACTGCGGCCTTACCTCAATGTTACTCCCGCATGGCTTTGAGGGAATGGTGAGTCTAACACTACGGCCTTACCTCAATGTTACTCCCGCATGGCTTTGAAGGCATGGCAAGTAAATAGGTTACTACAATTCTTCTTCTTTAACTACAAACGATAGTAAATTTCTCTTGTTTATCTTCTCTTCTTCTAGGGACCAGAACATTCCAGTGCTCGTCCTGAACGTTTCTTACAGATGAGCAATGATGACCCTGACTGGTTTCCTGTGAGTGCAGCCTGCTTTACACTACCAAAGTTTCTGTGATCACAGTAGGAATTTTGCATCGGTAAATT